TCTGTCTAATTCGCCATTCATTATTTCGGTTGCGATTTCCGACAAAACAAGCAAAGCAGACAAGTATACGAGGAGAAAATATAGAAACAAAAATATATGAATTAGACTCTAGAAAATTTTACTATTTCCATTTTTCGAGGAGGGTGTCAAGTATTGGTACACTGTCAACTATATAGTGCTTTTCAACTATCAGTACATGTTCCTACATTCGTTTTCATTAAATTCTGCATATATATATTTTCTTAGAAACTGTTGTAAATGTTAAAAAATTTCAGTCGTGATAATTACCCAAATACATTTTTATAAATGAATAAAAATGTATTATACGTAATATTCTGCTAGTAGTGTATTTCAAAATTCAAATATTCTCTGTAGCAAATTGCGAAATAAATTTTCGAGAATCGGTGAGAGGTTTTTCTCGGAAGGTGAGCTGATTCAGGTGTTCTCGCTACCCATTAGCTTCTAGCTTGAATGTCTTTCTCTTATCGATGCTCATCATTATATTCCATTTCGATACAAAAAAAATTTCAAAATTATTTTACTCTCATTTCATTCTAAATTTTTTATAACAAAATTATTTATTAAAAAAAAAAAAGCTCATTTTTGCTTTAAGCACACCAGTGAATATTTGAAGTGCTTTGCATTTGGATTAAAATATCTCAGAAATTATAATTCGAACCCGCATACTGCAAGCAAAGTAAATGTTCAGCATTTCATCCTCTTTGTAATGAGCTATTATTCGAAACTGTATCTTAACGCGACGCCGTGTTAGAGAGACGATAAGGGAAAATAGTGTCGAAAATCAAGTTATAACGAGTTTTATTGAAGATATTGATTAAAATATCCCAACAATTAAAAGTCGGACCTGCATACTGTAAGCAATGGAAATGTTCAGTATTTCATCCTCTTTATAATGACATATTATTCAAAATTGTATCTTAAAGCGATTCCATGTTAGAGAGACGAAAAGAGAAAAATATAGCGTTAATGATGTGAAGAGCCAAAAAAAGTATTTCCCTATCATGTATGGGCTGATTCATCTTGTGGATTTCTTATTTATAGTCAAATATATTATAGTGTCATGGTTCGTGTAATAACATTTAGTAGTACTTGAAGAATCACTTAAATTCAATTTCTCTAAACTCTATCAGTGTTTCAATTGCCTCCCGCAGTGCTACATCCTACGCCCTGATGAAGACCTGCAAAGTGGGTCGAAATTTCGGCAAAAATGAAATAATACTATTTGTTTAATTTAGTATTTATTTGACCCCTCCCCCCCCCCTCGATCAACTCCTTCTCATAAACTCTATTTCATAGAAGTAGTTAGTTCCCTTCTTTTTCTTCTTACGTAATTATCGTTTTATATTTTTTTATAACATCTTTCGGGCTGAAGCCTCCCCCAAAACTAAATCCTAGATCCCCTAATGCCTAGTAGTCGGTGCCTATATAAAATATCAAAAACAAGAAACAAAACCACCAGCATAAAGGGAATAAAACATAGTTTATGAAGTGCACGGGCGGATCTACGGGGGGGGGGAGGGGGGGCTTTCGGGCTGAAGCCCCCCCCAAAATGGAAAAATATAACCATGTTTTATGGGGAAAAAAAATTAAAAAACATCTCTTAAAGTATTATTGTTCGTGTAATTACATTTAAAAGTACTTAAGGAATAACTTAAACACCATCTCATATAGGTAGTTAGTTTCTTTATATTTTTCCAAAGGAATTATCGTTATTTTTATGAAAAAAAAAGGTTTCGGGCTGAAGCCCCTCCAAAATTAAATCCTGGATCCGCTAGTGATGAAGTGTCCAAACGCACCTTAAGATTATTCGTGATTATTTTTTATTAATATGTGGAAGATAGATGCATCAGATTTATTTAAAAGAATATTTTTATTATCTATTCAAATTTACAAAAAAAGTTCATTAATTTTTGCCTTTTTAAATTATAATTGTATTGAAAATTATAGGTAATTTGATTTTTTTTTTTTTTTTTTTTTTTGATTTTTTATTATATACATATCCTGACCAGTATGTTTGAATTATAATGGCAACACTGTAGAACAGTTTAATGTAATGGTAACACTGACGGCTGACGATGTCAGTTTAAGTTAAAGTTTTGTATTGTTTTGTTTCTAATATTTTATTTTAAGTGACAATTTTCACTTAGAATAGAAATTTTGGCACAAGTTCACTAGAGTACCGGGACGGAATACGCTTTGTTCACTGACTGTTATGTAAAAGCATTCATCCATTCTATATTACCAGGTAGCAGTTTTCTTATGGAAACTGTTTACATTACTATTAAATAAATATTATTATTATTTTATATATTTATTTCTTCCTATTGAAACCCCTTACAATGATAAAGTGAATCAGAGTGCAATAGTCTCAGAGGACTAGGTTTCCTAAAGTACAAGTGTTCATTATATAATACTACTGTTAATGGCCAAATGTTACTCAGAGTATCAAATGCCAAGTATTTTACTCAAATTCAATCACTATTGGGAATTCAATCACTGCTTCAGTTAATCGTTTGACATCAACAGAAGCAATAAATACTTTGGTACTCAAAAAAAAAAAAGGTCAGTATTCGAGTAAAATACTTAGTATTCAGTACTCAGAATAGCCCATCTCTGATGTTAAAATTGAATGTTTCATGGGAGAGCATAAAAACTGATTATTTCTTTATGATTTATCAGTATAATTTCATATTTTATTTTCCATAGTAGTAGACTACTTATAGCAGTTGCAGACTAAAAATTAATGAAGTTTTCATGTTCTCCTGCAAAACACTCAATTTTTATACACGACCTTTTCCACTAACAGTAGCGATGTTGGTTTTGTGAAAGTTATTTTTAAGATTCAAAGTTGCAATAAGAGCCTCGGAGAGCTGATGGATGACAGAACTGTAAGAAGTCCTCCCCCCTCCTATTACCCTCAAGTACTTTTCACAACTTGCTCCAACTCCTGAGATCAATGAGCAAACTTACTCTCCCCCATTATTTTTTCTCGTGGTTTTTATTATAACTTTTACTTGGCTGTTAAGCTTTTTTTCCTTTTCCTTCTTTCTATGATAAATTTTCTTTCGATGGCAGTAGTTAATTCCAGAAGTGTTTAACAATTATTAAGACTTTAATAATTTTCTACTGAGATTAAATTTATAAGTTCTTTTTACACATTCTTACAAATTAATTGTTTGTTTGAAAATAATTTTATCAGCTGTTCTTTTTCAACTGTCAGCGCCTAGACTACACTGTCACCATGGAAACAAGGTTTTATTGTTTAATGTTATGTCATTTAAACTTGGGATTATATTGAAAATTATGGGAATATTTCATGAGAAAGAGTTATTTGTAAATTTGTGTTTGTTTTTTTTGTGAAGTAACCACTTCCATTTTTAAATAATCTTTTTATTAGTATTCTCCATCATCAACATATTGGTCTCTTAATCATATTTCACGGATGATTTTCTTTACAATTATATTTTTCTTCTAATGTGTTTGAGCAACATTCCATTTTTATTTAATAATGAAAGAGTTTACTTTTTAAAAAGCCCACAAATATTTATTTATTTTGAATATTTAATAGTTGACCGTTGCATTATAAAGGAAGGAGATGGTCCGGGTTGGCGGTCATAAATAGGCTAAATAGTTGCAAAACTATTTTATTAAAAGCCAACGTTTCGACCCCACTTTGCAGATCTTCTTCAGGGAGGTGTGTTCAGCTAGAAGTTTCACTTAGGACTCTGTCACCATAACCTAATAATCTGAAAATAAACAATTATTTATTTTGTTAATTGTTTTACATTAATGAATGATTTTTAAAGACAAGGCACTTTTTAAAATTCATTGATCCATAACAAAAATTATTATTACACTATAATAATAATCTAAAATAAAAATATTTGTATGAAGTCGAGTTTGTACACTATTTGACAGTATCTTATTTAATTTAATTTATTTTACATTTTAAAATTTGATAACATAAATAAAAAACATCTACAATAGTATAGTACTGAGCATTATGACATAATATGGGTCAGAAACTTGGACCATAAAAAGCAACCTTAGGAAGAAACTTCTAGCCACCGAAATGGATTACTGGAGATGAGCGGTGGGCATATCCAGAATGGATAAAATGAGAAATGCGACCATCAGAGAAAAGATGGAGGCTAAAAAAACTATTCTGGAAAACGCCTAAAGTGGTATGGATATTTGAAAAGAATGCCTGAAGGAAGACTACCCAAAGAAGTCCAGTCATGAAAAACTAGAGAAAGAAGAAGACAAGGAATATCTGGGATATCAAAGTGAATGAATCCATGATGGGTCATGGTCTATGGTAAGAATGGACCTTAGATTATGGAAAGAAGCAATCCAAGCACTTTAGGTTAAAAAAAACCCACTATTAATAGAAATTTCTAATTAAAAAAAAAAAAATTGATAATCTTTCGGTGTCGCATACCGACATATTCATCTCTATTAAATTCAAACATTAACAATAACACTATGAATTTATTTATATAACACAAGTCTGTAATCGTTATGCAAATTAATACCATCTACTACCCTTAATCTTAAATCTTTCTATTTTATAAATCAATAATCATATCAGTAAATTAATTATTTTTTTTTTATTGAATTATTCATTATTTTTCTTTTCTTTTTTTAATTTCAAACAATTAGCTGTTACATTTTGTAACTTCACTGATTTTAACCTATTAACAATTTTAGATATTGAAACCAGATGAAGTACAAATTGTTATTATAATGTTCAAGTTATTGATTTTTTAAAATATATGGATGGTATTAATTTGCCTGACAACTACACAGTTGTGTTATATAAAGAAATTATTAGTGTTATAATTTAATGATGCATTTGAATTATAAGATGTAAAATCAAATAATAGACTATCGAATGATATACAATCTAAACACTTAAAATAATATAAATACTATTTAATATAATGATATTAATATTTTTTCGTCACAATATATATTAAAAGCAATATTGTGTCCACAGGGATAGCCTGTTCCGGTTGGGCGTGGAGAACCTGGAAAGAAGAGAGAAGGCGATATGGCTGGCCCCCGCAGACAAAGTGCAGCTCTGCCAGGACAAAGGTCAGTCCGAGGAGGACTGCCACAACTTCATCCAGGTCTTGCTCACCAACGGCAAGCGCCTCTTCACCTGCGGCACCAACGCCTTCTCCCCGACCTGCACTTGGAGAGAGGTAATCTCAAAATGGGTGTTCTTTAATTAGTCATTCAAAATGGGACTTAATTAACTAATTTCATAGATTTATCTCTATGTGACATAAATATTAATTAATTATAAGGAATATTTATTAATTTCTATTTCTACATTTTTTTTTTAGTACTTCTTATATATGTAATTGTCTTGTTTATGCTAATTATTTTGTTTATTTATTTTTACTTTTTATATACTTATCTTTTTCATTTATTTATAACACAAAACCATTTTCTTAGCATATTGTAATGTTTTATTATTGCTATCTAATACTGTACATCTCCCCTCTTTTTTATTTTTTAATCTTATAATCCACATTTTTGTTTTGAAACGGAACGCAAACTGAATAAATATAACTTTTAACTGGACATCCTGGCCACTTTTCTTCCATACAATTTTAACAGTTAACTATTTATTCATTTCTAAAGTAATTAATTATATCTTATATTAATTAACTTAAAAAGATCAATTTACAACTATTATTGAACCAATTTTATTAATGGTTTGATAAAAGTATTTTTCAAAGTAAAAAATTTCAACAAACTAAAAATTTCAAAGTTTATCTTGAATTTTTTTTTTTTTTTCTTAACAGAGATAAGGCTAGTTAAGCTAATGACAATAATTAAAATTCTACAAATGTTTAATTTTAATTGGTATAATTATAAAGGACATGCAATATTTGTTATTATTATATTTTGGAAGTTTTGATAACAGAGACACAACCCTAAATCTTTAAGAAATGATAAAATAAATTAATATTAAATTGAACCTTTTTTTTGCTAAACCTTACAAAAAAAAAAATTTTCTTTATTATAGATGGAGGAAGTAAACAGAGTTGTAGAATGGGTGAGAGGCGTTGGAAAATGCCCTTATTCACCACACTCCAATGTCACCTCACTGATCTCAGACGAAGGACAGTACTTTGCTGGTTCGCCGATGGACTTTTCGGGAGCAGATCACGCCATTATCAAAGACCTCGGCCCGACCTACCTCAGGACGAATCAGTACAATTCTAAATGGTTGAATGAACCGCAGTTTGTTGGATCATTCGAGACTGATCTCTATGTGTATTTCGTTTTTCGGGAGAGTGCAGTTGAATACATCAATTGTGGAAAGGTAAATATTTTGTTCAACTTTTTCTCTATTAAGCTTTTTAAGTATTAATATAATAAGTCACTGACAGTTGTGAATTAAATAATAAAGAGAAAAAAATATATAAGGCAGTATAATAAGTAAATGCAATGTATTATGAGAGCGATGAATCAATTTTCATTCATAATAATAGACCAAAACCTGTGTACAAAATGATGACTCATTCATTGGATTTTATGAACTAACGATATCGTTACAAGAAAAAAAATTTGAGGAATAATCCATAAAGATAATTATTTTTAAATCTAATGTTATAATAGTTGTGAATGTCGAGATTTATGAAATGAAGAAACTTTATCAAAAGACCTTGATGCCATTGAAGTTCTAGTTTATTTTCATTAAATCTAGAAATATTCAGGCATAGTACACCACTGTGCTAGTAAATTGTTGTCTAAACAGAGTAAGTCATTCATGATCATTAAGAGAAACTGATCTATTAATATCTCATGATATGAAAGTACAGAGGTTAAGATGGGCTGCGCATGTAGCTCAGGGCAATCCATCTGGAAGCCTGACAATGAATGAATGCATCAATAGTAGGCAAGAGACCACGTGGAAGGTTAAAAAGTAGATGGATAGATCGGATCAACCATGTTAATATTAGTCATTACTGATTATTAAGAATCATTATTATATTTTTGGTTTAATTTCAGATAATCTATTCAAGAATTGCTCGCGTTTGCAAGAACGACAACGGAGGGCAGCTGATGCTTCGAGATAACTGGACGACCTTCGTAAAGGCTCGTTTAAACTGTTCACTTGCAGGAGAGTACCCATTTTATTTTGACAACGTTCAGGGAATGAGCTACCTTCCTGACCAAGGTGTACTCTATGCAACTTTTACAACTCCAGTGTAAGTATTATTAATTTATAACATTTATTCGTTTAATATTAAGCAGGGTTTGAAACGGGAAAAAAAAATTTATTTTCAAAAAGTTACGGTATCACCTGAATTTTTATTTTCTATAGTTTTCCTGTTCTTTTGGAGTTGGAACCTTTTATCTAGCAAATTTTCAAGTAAAAGTTTTACCTGTACCACTACAACCCATGAAGGGTCTAGGGTTCAGTACTTTGTAGGGAAAGCACTGTTTCTTGGTCTTCTTGATGCCCATCCCTCTCAAGATTGATGACGCAAGAACCTCCCCTCTCCCAAGATATTTTATTGCTTACCTTTTCTTAAAAACAAAGAAAGCTGAGCTATGATTAGAAAAATCTTAGATCTTATACAATTCCATGCTTTCCTCTTGTTCCTTAATCCGAAAATTCATAACCCTGTCAAAATTTATCCCCCATAAAAATTTTGATGGCGCAACTTGTGCCATGGAACAACCCTCCTTCTGGAAACCCCTTGCTCAAAGAAACAACACATTAGAATCATGTGTAATTCATTTAAGAAAAATTATAACTCTAATTGAACCCCGATTGCTGTTTATTTTTTGTTTAACTCAACTTTTTTCAAGAACTTAAATAAATACTAGTTCCATTAAAGTTTCAACCCCTGATATAAAGTGAAAAAGAAAAATAGTCTAAAAAAGATAGATATAGCATAAATCTTATCGATAGGTATAACTTCAACTAATTTATTTAGAAAGAAAGGGAGAAAAGTAAATTTTATTCTGAGATACCTAGTTCCCTAAGAATAATGTACAGTTACTGTTATAAAATTAATAGTTCTAAAAATAATTAAACTATAGAATTATGATGCAAAATAAAACCAAGTATAAGTGAATATATAAAAGTAATGAAATAATAAATAAATAAATGTCGGTTTGCTTATATGTTTGTTCTTGTGTGCAATATAAATTCTAGTACTGAAACAAGGGTAAAATAATATATAAGTAAAACAATATTTTTACATATAATGAAAGATTGATTGTCAAGGAGATTGAGAAATGTGTTGTGTTGAAATTAAGTTTAAGATGAGATTTTATACATGGAGATGAGTAAGGACGTTTGGATCGTACATTTATATAGTTTGGACAAATGTTCTCCACTTAATATACAACTAACAGTAGAACCGTTACGTCTAAATTAATTTTAAAATTAAATTTTATGATTTTCATTTTTATTTTCAGTAACAGCATCCCAGGTTCCGCAGTGTGTGCTTTTAACATGTCTGGTATCGAGGCAGCTTTTGCCGGTCCTTACAAACACCAGGCGACCGTCGGCTCAGCTTGGGAGCGCCAGGCCCCGACCAGGCCTCGACACTCGCAGTGCTCCGGAGCCACGACCTTACTCGACTCGACGAGGTACCAGCTCATGGACCTTGCGGTTCAACCTGTCTCTCAGGAGCCTCTCTACACCTCCACGATGGAGCGCTTGACTCACATCGCAGTCGACACTGTTTCTACTAAAATTCACAAGTTAGTAACCTATTACTACCTTATTGTTTTAAAATTATTATTAGTATTTTGAAATTCTGAAATTTGTTTGTTTACTGAAGCCCGGTGAATTGTATATTTCAATTCATAAAAGGTAGGCTTGGTCAAATGACAGCCCACCCCATTACATTATGACAAAAAAAAAAAAAAAAAGGATAAATAAAAAGATAATAAAACAATTTTTAATAAATATAATTTCCTGTTGGAATTTTTACTCGTTGGACGCCTGGCTTTACTAGCCTTTCATCTCTAAAGAGATTAATTTAGAAAATATAAGGTACCCATTATTGCCCATAATAAAACATTTATGGTGGTACCATGCTAGCTCAGGTGAGAAAGGATTAGATTGGATATTTTTATAAAGCAGCAAAAAATGTTAAGAGATCTATTTACAGAAAAAAATATTTACAGAATTAATACAATTTACAAGCAAAAGAAATGAAATGAAAGGTAAAATTTAAAGATAATTACTGTATACAATACATAAAAATAAATAGGAAGATACTTAAGATAATAAAGATTATAGAAATAACATAAAATATACTTTTTCTATATACAAAGGTATAGCATGCCACATCTAAAACATCAAGAAACGATAGTCAAGAGATAAGATATATAAGAGTACATGCACATCCTAAAATCTAGGAATTAATAATCAGTGCCAGGAAACAAAAGAAAGAAGTGTTCTATGTTTTCCAACGCTTCCTTAATCTTGATTACAACATTATTGATCCCACTTGAGCATTCTAAAAATAAAAAATATTGAGTAAATGAAAATTAACTTGTATCATTGTAATAATGCTTAAATACTGCTATGGACTCCTGTTCTCTATTTAAAATTCACAAACGCTTTGAATGTTAGTGAAAGAAATGGAACATACTAGTAAAAGAAAGGATAAAGAAATACCTCATTGAGACTTAAAATATTTCATGGCACTTGATAATTTATTTATAACCAAATAAATAATAAAAATATGCAATCATTAAAGGCAATGATTAGTGTAAAAAAAAAAAAGTATACTTTAGACGGCTGGGAAAAACATACAGTAATTGATTGCTTCAAACAATTTTGTTCCATTTATGATTTTTACTTTCTCTTCCCTTTGACTAATATCTATCCATTTCCCCAAAAAGAATGGTGGTGTGTTTACTTTACTATGCCAATCCCTTCCAAGACTGTCAGGGATATTGTCATAATAATTCTGCTTTAAGAGCTGCTGATAATTTATTGCTGTGTACTGTAAAATTAGAGAAGCTAATGGATTAAAAGAGTGAAGATGTAAAATTGATTGCTTTATTTTATTACATTTAATTTTATACAGAGGTTAAATATAGGTGGGCTGGGATACTTGCATTTTCTCTTTTCTTGGCCCCTTGCCGGCCGCTGTAGTTTTTTACTCCATGTTTAGTAAATCAGTGGAATTACAAATTTTTTAAACTGGCCAGTCTAGTAAATCTCTCACGCTACGTGAGCGTCTACGCTTCAGTAATGGCGGCGTCACAATAACAACTGAGGTATATATGCAGTATGTTCGAGATAACAGCTGTGTTGTGGTTTCTTGATTTAATTCAAATTAAATTTAAATATGAATTTTGATGTGTTCCCTAAACAGTGGTGAGTAAAAGTTGTGTGATGTGCACACCGCACCAGATTTTTTTATTTGTTTTACATTACTTAAGAGTATGTATAGATAAATGCGGCAAACTGTAACATTACTCATCATCAGTTGGCTTCTGGCATGATTTGGGTTAGTCAGGGCAGATCAAATGGCTGTATTATATTCGAGCAAATAATATTTACTTATATATTTGATATTAACACAAAAATCCTTTGCAAAATCTATCACTGAACCAAAAAAGGAAATACTTTGTGGTTGAAGATCTGAAACAGCTATATAATGCCCTAGATGTTATGTCCATAATAAAAAGGTGAATGGTAAGATGACTGGGTCTTGCGCAAATAATGGAACACTATTCCTACAACCTGCGGCTCCCTAAAATGATAATGGAGAAACATCCGGGTGGAAAAAGAAATAGAGGCAGGCCTAGACTTTCTTAACGATCTTAGCAGCCTGTATGTTGTTTGATAGAAAGAATATTAGGTTGGTTTGGAAGAGTGTTTTTGTGTGTAGTTGAAATGGCCAAGGGACATAGCGCTACCGGATGTTCATGATGCTGATGATGATTTGATATTAACTGGTATATGTCTATTTTTTTCCTGTTTAATTCGAAAAATATTCCGTATATACAATCACTCCACATGGTTATCTTATTAAATAAAATAAAGGTTTTGTCTGTACATTGAATAGAATCAATCTGTTTCATACATTACAGACATCAAATCTACTTTTAAAAAATATTTTGTCTGTCTGTATGTCCTCATTGTCCAACGAAATTTTGTCAGGTGTAAGCTCAGCAATGGCTAATGGTAGACTTATAAAATTTTGACATTATATTTAGGTTTGCTTGACTTAAAACATAAGCTTTAAATGAAAACAAAATATTGAGCAGAACCAAAGTTATGAATTTTTGAGTAATTTATCTAGAGATCCCGGTTAGGCAGTTACTTACTTTGATTCTCATCCCAACCTACTCTACCACGAGCTGTACCAACAATTTCATCCAGCCTGCCACAATATTCAAATTTTACACGGATGTAGGTGACTCTATGCCCAATGTTATTTTGGTTATTATGCAAGCGATAAACTAAGCGGAGTTTAAAGAAATCAAGAGACTAAAACTCTTTTTGATTATTTCAATCAACTCTACTATCTCCTTGCTTCATCATAAATGAAAATAAAAAACATTAATGGATCAGTGGTGGTCTGTTTAGTTGTGCGGTACCTAAACAAATAGCCGAACAAAGTTTTTATAATGACTATTGCGAAATCTTGACTTCCATAAGCTCCACCATAAAAAAATTCAAAACAAATCCCCCACCATAATACAAAACCTATCTCAAAAAAAGGTTCTCAAATTTTAACTATACACCCGTCCACGACGGGTACATCAGCTAGTTTATAATAAAAAAATAATTAATATAAATAAGAGTTGAAACTATTACACTACTTCTTCTTCCTCTGGGTGTTCTGATTCAGGAGCAAAAGTAGGAAATCGGTGGCTCTCTTGAGATTATTTAGGTTTTCATGTAGTTTGATTTATAAATTTAATTTAATTTAAGGTTAGCCCATATAATTACTGCTACATTGTTTTTATTAATGGATTATTCAATAACTACTAATTATACTTAACCTGAGTCATTTAATATTCTTTTTGTTTACTGTGTGTTAACACAGAGCCGTTCATGTTCTCTACGTGGCGACTGAGGAAGGTTTGGTCAAGAAAATATCTTTACTTTCGAGGACACAGAAGACTTGTATTCTAGAAGTTTGGCAACCTTTTACGGCAATGAGTATTTCAAGAAAGATCTACACTCTTAAATTCGCTTCTGTGAGTACTGAATTATTCTTTTTAATTGTATATTTTTTGCTATTATAAATGATAAAGACAGTTGAAATTTCTCATCGTAATTCCTATTGTTATACTAATTTATGTTCAAATTGCAGGAAGGGATTTATTTAGGTACGGACGAAGGAGTGCTGCGGATCGCGAAAGAACATTGCAGAAGACACAAGAGCCGAGCGGCCTGCCTCGCAGCGATGGACCCGCACTGCGGCTGGCACGACCACTTGGAGATCTGCTCGACCCCTCCCGAGCACAACCCGCTCGTGCCCCACTGGCACCACGAACCTACTCGATGTCCGTCGTTAGACCATCCGGGTAAGTACTTCTTTAAACTTTTGTGAGAATCACAAAAAATATTTGTAAATAACCTACTGAAAGTTAATTGTAAATGATTAGTTTTAGCGGGAATAGGCGAATAGCCTTCCGCTTTTATATCGAGGATTGAGGTTATTTACACTCGTGAATTATTAAAACAAAACCCCGGCACTGGATTTAGACTTTTTTGAGGGTGTTTAACTGTGATTGGGAATTCGGGAATCTAATACCTTTTGTGACATTGAGTGAGAAGAAACAATAAGAATACAAATATGAAATGTGGGACTTAGTAAACACTTTGAATGAATTGACTCACCTGCTTTGTTATTCTTCAATTGTGAGGCATATAGGACAACTAAATTAAAGGACTATTCACTCCGGTATAATAAAACAATTTATTTTGACAACTGATATAAATGAATATATTAAAGTCTAATAACTGCAGGCTTGATATTCTTAGTCTTCAATGTAGAAAGCCTCTCTTCCCAAATGACGTCTTCTCGTGTTCCTGTCCAGCCCCAAAATCCGTCCTCCTCCTCTCTTCTGACAACCTCCTTTCTACTTGTCCCGGCCTAGAAAGCCATCTCTTCTCTCCAGCTGTTGCTACCTGCTGGGTCCTTTCAGTACCTCCCACCTTCTTCCTTCTTTATCGATTATTTATCGATATGAGACTTTTCAAAGAACAATTTGTCCACTGCACAATTGAGTACAATTCACAGTGCAACCTCACATTCCTATATATTATATATTCCTTCTCATTCCTTCACACAATGTCAACTAAAGGAGTAAATACAGGGGGCTATCTATTACATATTTAATAAACTTTTATTACAACTACTAAGTTTTCACTTCATGTAAAGAAAGAAACGGTGATGATAAGTATTTTTTTCAATTAGAAAATCTGTGCTCATATCTTTCCAGAGGATGGCAGTAATTGGAAAATTACCAATTTTAGAAATAACCAGTTTTCATTTTGGTTATTTTTATTTTTTATAAGGTACAAACTTTTTTTGAAGTGATAGAAAAAAAATGGAATAACTGGCATATCAGTATTTGGATTCAGCACAAAAAAAATTATTCATAAAATGCAAAAATTTTAAATTAAGCGAAAATACCAATTTAAAATTTTACAATACAATTATTATTCAATTCACATGACATATTTTTACAATGTTTTATGGTTTGTTTTATTTTATTAAAAACAATACTTGACATCGGTTAGACAAATACAGAAACCATTAATTTAACCAAAAAATACAATTATTGTTCAATTTAAAAAAATTACTTATTTAAAGCTCGATCATGAAGACCTAAGAGTAACAAGAAATTGATATTTGGATGATAATTAAAAAACACCACTGCACATTATTGAATGTCAAGAGTTATTTTTAAAAAATAAATGAAAAATATTATCATTAAGACATTAATTTTTCTTTGTTCTTAAAGCCAATTATTTTTGCTTAGATATTGGGCTATTAAAAAAACAATCCCTTATAACCAGCACACTAAAATAACTTAAAAAAAAAACAAAGTTCAACCAAATTGAAAACGACAGGTTTTCAGTTTAATGGCTAAGTTATTATCATCCCTGATGCTAACTGTGGTAATTATGGATTGCAACCAATTTGTTTTATTTTTTTATGAAGGATGTAGTGTTTTTTTTTTTTTTTAAAGAAATCCTTCCATCACATAAAAATGTAATCTAAAAACTTCTCAAAACATCATTATTTTTATATCGAATATTTATGCTATTTAATAGTTCAATTTAACAATTATTTATATACTTAATAATTATAGCTAATTATTAAATAGCAAGTTTTCAAAAAGTTCAATGCTATTTATTCAATTATTATATTATATCTAATTCTTTAGTTTTCTATTAAATATTTAGACCTAATTGTAATATTTTGCTGCTGTTAATGCAAAAGGTTGTATGTGAAAATTGAATGTTTTACAGGAGAGCATCTGTAATAAAAACTGATTATTTCTTTATGATTTATCAGTATAATTTCATATTTTATTTTCCTCTGCTATTTTCCATAGTAGCAGAAAACAACATGTCTTTAGCACAAATATAATAAAAATGGAAAAATTGTACATACACCTTGCTCTTAACAGTAACGATTAGATATAATTTGTTGTATTATTTATGATTATAGGATTAAAATAATAAAATATTTAAATATAATTGTAAATTTTAACATAACAATTGTTTGATTAATGTTTTTAAGTTGATGGAGGCTGGTCGGCATGGTCAGCGTGGGCTTCCTGTGAGATGTCAGATTCAGGAGACAACTGCCTCTGCGCGACGAGAGTCTGCGATAACCCAGTGCCCTCCCGAGGAGGAGCCCCTTGCACAGGGCTGTCGGTGAGGGTCGCTAACTGCACCGTCCATGGTGGATGGACACCATGGTCTTCCTGGTCAGCATGTTCTCAGTCCTGCGGCATGGCTGTCAAAACAAGGAGGAGATCCTGCGGCAATCCTGCTCCTCAGCACGGCGGTAGGGTCTGCGTCGGACAGGACCGGCATGAGATGTACTGCCACTCAAATCCTCCCTGTCCGGGTAAGAACTGTTTTCATCCCCAAACATAATTTTTAACAAAGTGTGCTTATAATAAAAGCTCCTTTAATAAATATTATTTTATAAATATTCACCAAGTAGGTTACAAGTAAGAGATCTTCGTAAAGAAATTTAAACAAAATTATTGTTTCTCTCTATTCTGCTTAACTAACATATAGTATTTTATAACTAAACATAAGTACTCAAGAATTCAATTGAACATTAGCTTCCATTTTACTACTAGAATAGGAGGCTATGTATTTATTCTATTAACCCTATATACAAGTATGTAGAGCCAATAATGTGTGTATATTGATATTTAAATCCATCAAATGAGCCCTTCAGTTGACAGAATGACTAACTCCAATTTCAATGTTTATGAGTAACGTCATTTTAGTGATATTTCTAGTAGGAAATTCTTCAATATCTATACAGACAGTGAGTAAGTTGATTGCAGTGTTGAAATATATAACTTTGAAATTGTAGTTCGTTATTCTGTCAACTGAAAGGCTCTTGTAATGAATGATGTTTCTAGCCTGTTGCTCAGTTTCATGATTGTGCAAATTTAAAGGATAAATTTTTAGTCATAATGAATTTGCATTAAATATCGTATCTTCCTATTATCGTAACCTACAACTTTATTATTTACGAAAATTCTTGGAATGAGGAGTTTTCTATCTGGAGCTCGGTAAACTTTGTCAATTTAATGAGGTTTTAAAAACTTTTGAACATTCATTTTCTTTCCACTTGAATCGTAAGATAATTTGATCACGAAATCGAAAAATAAATTAGCCTATATCAATACTGGGTTATATACGAATCAAAATAACGAGGTTATATAGGCAAAACTGCCCAATATTATTGTTGGCCCCCTATTTTCTCAATTTTATGATCAAATCGTCTTAGAATTAAAGTGGAAAGCAAATGGTTATTCATGATTTTTTAGTACCCCACGAAATCAATCTTTTTAATGATCTCAAGCTAGAAAATTCCCCATTTCCAAGAATTGTCATAGATAAAAAAAATTGCAGGTTACGATAAGATAAAACAATTCAAGAAGTTTTAGATGGATCTTAATTATTTGATAAAAAGGGATCTGTACCGCAGGCTATAAGCAATAGAGAAGAGATATAAAATTTTGAAATTATGATAATATCAGTTACTTAAAAAGTCATGGAAAAACATTAATTTATATATTGAAGAGAAGATTGGTTGCTGTGATCAGTAAAAAAAAAATGTAAAAATAAATATATTTATTGTACTTTTTTATTTATATTTTTATAATATATTTATTATTATAATAAGTATGTTTATTTTTATTTTTGCCGACATCTCAGCCCAAAGTTCAGGCCTTCATCAGGGCTGGTCAAACGAAAGATCTAGCTGAAATCTTCGTTTGACCAGCCCTGATGAAGGCCTGAACTCGGGTTCGAATCGTCAGCGAAAATAAAAATAAACATACTTATTCATTTTTTTTTACTGATCACCGCAACCAATCTTCTCTTCAATTATTCACGACAGTCGACCATCAACCAACAACAATTGATTTATGTAATTTTGAAAAAACAACTTAATTTTATTTATTATTATTGTAGCGCTCACCAAACTATATTCTTGTAGTTGACATGATTACTTATTGGTTTCAGCGATAAGCGGACCAGTTCGAGATGGCGGTTGGTCTAGCTGGTCCAGTTGGTCCGAATGTACTGCCAAATGCAACGGTGGCTTTATGATGCGCACGAGGGCTTGTAACAACCCACCGCCCCAGCAGCCTGGCGGATTGGATTGCATCGGCTCCCACATCGAATATCAGGTACGGTCCCGTCAATCAATGAATTATCTTCTACTAACTATATCTTCTTCTCATTAGCGTCATTATCTCATTATAGTATAATCAATTGTGACAAGAGAATCATGTCTTGTATCTTGCTGGTGTTTAATACGTTCGAGCTAAGGCTGCAATTCATGTATCTCTCCCATGGGCAGTTATACTTAAAGCTCTTCGTTCGATCGAACGGGCATGAACTAAAACGTAAAACAAAAATTTATGGCAAAGGTATTCGCTTTCGGTAACCATTAGTTAGGTTTATTAAGTTAAAGTTAATATGGTGATGCTGAATTTAAATTATGTTATTAACTATAATTTTTTTTCTCTCATTTTCTCGCCTCTACCCTAAAGGGTCATTGGCGTTTTCTATAATTTATATTCTATTATAGTAATTTGCAATCTTTAAAAATTTAAAAACGATAGAGACTCGCTCTTCATTATCTTGTAGAATATCGTTTAGTGTTTTTCCTAGATCTATTTTTTTTCTGTGGCTTTCGAATTGGGTACATTCTACCAGAAAGTGTTTCACAGTTTGAGGTGTATTATTGCATTTTTCACAAGTAGGCGCTTCTAGACCTCTTTAAAGATAGCTATGAGTGAACTTGGGCAGTGCCCAATCCTTAGGTGGCACAGTATAATTTCTTCACGCTTAGACTTTCTGTTGCTAGTGAGCCATTTATCGCAAGTGGGTTTCACTTCTTTCAGCTTACACTCTTTGCTCCTCCACTCTTTTTCCCACTCTGCCAGTTGTTTTTTCTTTATTTCGTGTACCCAGTCTTCTAAAGTGATATATTTCAATCTAGTCACTTCATCTTCTTTTCCTCCACTTCTTGCTAAATGGGCTGCATTGTCAGCTCTTTCATTCCCTAATGCTCCGCAATGAGCTGGTACCCATACCAAGACAACTGTTATTCCTTTATTTTTTACCTCCCACCAAATGTTGATTATTTTCAATTATGGAGTTTCTAGGATATGGGTTTTCAATGGCAGTTAAAACACTCTATGAGTCCATCACGACTACCCAGTAGTTCTTTTTAGCTTCGCTTATAAGATATAAAGGGAAGATGCTTTCAATCTTATCTGAGCCATTGATATGTTTAATTTTCATTATTTAATTTTCAACTATATGGCAATTTTTTCTAGTTACTTTCTCACTTACCAAAAAGGGGCTGGAAAAAAAAGTAACAATATATTCAGAATTTTATTTGCAAATATCTCAAAAAGCACAAAATTGTTCTGAACTGTTTTGAATTGTAAGTACATATAAAAGTGTACAATCTGAAATATACAATGAATGGATGTATAAGAGTAGGAAAAAAAAATGTTGGAAACATGTAAATTCATACATGACCACTGGGCGAACATTATATGGCAAATAATAATGTTTTGTGTGCATTATGTTCTTACAATTTTTATTTTATCTTTAGATGTGTAACACAGCAAGCTGTATCGAGAGCAAGAGGCTGTCTCCCTGGACCCCTTGGACGCCGAGCGGGAATGGGAGCGAGAAGAGGTACAGGTTCGCCTGCCGCGCTCCAACCCCTGACCCCACATACATCAAGCTGACGCTGGCCAAGGTCGACGACAGGTTCTGTACCCAAGAGGGTGTATGCACCAGATCAGGTAACTTAATACAAATTTCATATAATTTTCTTTAAAGCTTTAAGCATAAATTTTAGAAGGGCTTAACAATTGATATTTGGTGTTAGGATCTAAGCACACTCCAGCTTTATAAACTAAAGAGATACTTTTATCTATCTGCTAGATAAGGTATCTTGTCAAAGGGTTAAGTAATATTTTTATAAAATATTCTTTATATACTAAAGATATTGTTGGTTTACTAGAAAAAGTCACTAAGTGTATATTTGGTTTAGATTAACTTTCAATTTTGTTTTTGTTAATTTTGACCATATTTAACTATACAAAGACATTATAAGTGCATTTAAATGATGCAAAACTCTTTTATTTATCATTTGTAGTTAGTTATAACAAGTATTCAGATTTCATAAAGGGAAAATCGATCCAAGTTCTTAATTACTTGAGGTTATGAAATGGCACTTAATGACTTTTCAATGAACCAACGATATACTTAGCACTCTGTGGAATACACCATGTACTATTTTAAGTTTACCTAATAAAGGTTTCCAGGTTTTTTTCTGCCATCTTGAGAACTATAATTTCAATTGACTGTATCTCTGTTAAGAATAGTATTTACATTTTCAGATTCGAGCGATAGCGAGGACGGTTGGTCGGAATGGTCAGCGTGGTCGCCGTGCTCGGTCGAGTGCGGCTCCGGTGAGCAGAGCAGGGTGAGGACCTGCCAAGGGGATTCCCGCGACTGCAAGGGACTCTCGCTCATGTTGAGGGCCTGCAACAACCAGCCCTGTCGTGGTTAGTCTCAACTTTATATTTTTAATAAAAAAAATGTTATTATTTTATTTTAAACTCTAAAATAATTAATTTTTAAATAAAATTTGAAGATGGAAAGATTTTAGATTTATAAATAGATTTACTCATATGAAAAACTTTAGTTTTAATTATGTGGAATAATTTATGTTTTAGTCTTATCATAGAGATGTATCACATAGTAAACAATTTTATTATTGAAGTATTGAAGCAAGTTAGTTGATTAAAGTAGTTTGAAATTTTTTTGTGTTGTCAAAAGTAAAACCATTAATCATCATTATAATTAATGATTATTTTTTAATTGAATCGAATTAATTTCTTCTGAAATTAACATATGCTTTTTCTGAAATAATTTTAATATTTTATTTTTATAGGTGAATGGGGTTGTTGGGGCGACTGGACCCCTTGCTCTGCGACCTGTGGCGTTGGAACAAGAACTAGATCACGAGAATGTTTAGGTGTCGGACCGTGTGACGGAGAATCATACATTGTCGAGCCATGTCATGTCAACTCCTGTTTTGGTGAGAAAATTTTACTATTATTTTCCAGTTATTAATTATAACAAACTTTGATCTCTATTAACTAGTTATTAGAATAAGCCCATTAGCTGAGGTGATGACTAAGCACGTTTAGGTCCCTAAATCCATAATGCTCTGAGGACATTTGGGTTCGATTCCCATCTGAATCAGTTAATATTAATGGAAGATGGAGTTAACTTTTTTTTTCCAATTTAGGCATAAAGAGCACTGTAACACTTATGGATCTATTGTGTGCCATTTATACCATCCGTTTTATTTCTAAAACATTAGTTTAGTTGCTTCAGAGTATCTGAATAGACTTATCACCCAATAAACCTAACAGACTCATAGCTGCTGGGGTAATCCACTCAATTCTCCCCAAAGAGCTCTAGTCTAAGCCTTGCAAACCTATCATATCGACAAACGATTTCAAAGGCTGTTTCATTCTCATCCTGACAGAATCTGTAAAGCGAGTTCGAAGTCACTCGAAGATTGAACATGTTATAGCTTAACTTACAGTGGCCAGTATCAATCGCTGTTTGCTTCTTTTATCATACAGAATTTTAAGAAACAGCTTCGAATGTCGTTGTTTCTTCTCAGTCCAGTGTTGTTTGAATTTTTCGCCATATACTTCCCTAATCCTTCTCTCTTGGCAGTGCTGAGGCTGATTCCACAAACAGATTCAGGAGTTACGGGAATAGTATCTGAGTCTAACCTGGCTAGATAGTCTGCCTCTTTGTTGCCAAGAATGCCCGAACAACCAGGCACCCACTAACTTTCTTTGGTCATTGAATAAATATAAAGCCTTATTGAAATTTTTAAATGACATAAAAGCACTTACATAATAAAATTCTCCTTTTATTCTTAGTTGCTTCTTTTGAAACCACTGTTACTTCAGTTTTTAACTATTAGTCTTTCAAGTTCAGGTTCTGTTTAAGTTACATTCAATAATCATGTATCCAGAAATATTCAATGGATGGATATCCAGTTTAATTTGATCTTACAGTGACAATTGAAATGTTTTGTGAACTTATTAATTTCAATTTATTTACTAATTAAAATACGTTTTCAGAGCTGGAAGGCTGGGATGAATGGGGAACTTGGTCAGAGTGTGACGACGCTGGAACTCAAAAAAGAAAAAGAACATGCCTTGACCAAGGACTGTGCCAAGGTTCGGACGTCCATTCCAGGCTCTGCGACGAACCTGTCGCCAACGAAGTCCATGGTCAGTAGTTGTATTGTACTTCTTCTCATTGTACTTAGTGATTTGCCAAGTAGCGCTCTAGCTTTGTTAAGAAATAGTTTCTCTCTGCTTCTTTTCTTTTATTGCTAGTCAAGGACCTTAGCTATTGTGAGTATACTTTGCATAATTTTGTTTTATTATTTCAACACTTAATACAAAGTTCTAATTAGCATTCAATAAAATGCAACAACATTAATATTGCTTTTATTGAGTCTACTATTAGTAAATCCAGAGTTAATAAGTCGTATGAGGCTATGAAAACAAAAATTAAGATTGCCCTGAATGCACATCAACAAACAAAAACATAACTAAAGTGAAAGAAATTATTATGTATGCTCTACTTACATGTTTAATGATGTTTGTGTGAAGCAATTTGATAAAAAAACTAAGTTGTGTGCTTTAGACCACACGATAGTAGGGAAAAGATCAATAATATGAAATATAAATTATAAATAATAGCTCATTATAAAGAAGATTAAATACGGAACATTTCTCTCGCTTACAGTATGCAAGTCCGATTTTGTCTTCCAGAAAACTCGTTATCATTTGATTTTTGAAACTATTTTTTCCTTTTTGCCTCTTCAACACAGTGTCGCGTTAAAATACAATTTTGAATAATAGCCCATACAGAGAGGATGAAATTCTGAAGAACAATTCCCTTGCTTATGGTATACAGGTCAAATTTTTAGTTTCTGAGATATTTTAATCCATATCTTCCATAAAACTTGTAATCATTTGGTTTTTAACTCTATTTTTTCCTTTTTGCCTATCTAATACGGCGTAGTGTTAAGATACCGTTTTGAATAATAGCCCATTACAGAGAAGATGAAATGATGAACTTTTCTCTCGCTAACAATATGCAGGTACGATTTTTGGTTTTTGAGAGATTTTAATCCATATATAAAAATACTTCGATTAATCGACTCCAGCTCACTTCACCCGAGCGTCACTCATCGGAAATCTGACGGCTCAATCTAATTCACTCTCCACTAAAAAGAGCAAAACACACCTAAAGAAGTTTTCACTTCAAAAACATGTATAGATTCGTGGCAATAGATTTCATAAACTCATTCCTTGTTTGTAAATTTTTGGGGAGGGGGGGGGGAATAGTGTAATAATACCCTCCCTATTTGTCAGATATACTCACAAGTGACTATCTTCAGTTTTCAAAAATAAAGTGAACCTTGAAAAGTCACCAATTTGCAAACATAGATGAGATTTCAAGATGTAGAAACATCATCTCTAAACGCTCTATCCTATAGATTGAGTCCGCAAGTGAGTTTCCAGGATAGGAAAAAGCGCTGGCACAACTTCATAATATCTAACAGTGACCATTTTAAATGGGATAGTGCTTATAAATTCAGTAAAAGATCTTAAAACTAAATTGTTGGAAAAATAAAAAAAATTATCTTCCTCATCAACTTTGAAGTTGACACTATTATTGTCGAAGTGACTCACAATAATATTCAGAACAAGGACTTTATTAAAAATAATAAATTTTGACTTAAATAAATTATTACAAAATATAATAATGGAAAAAAAATATTTGCTTCATTAAAATGGTTATTTTTATTTTTTCATTTTAGTAAAAATATATTGATTTATTTTTTTTTTTTAACGACCCTTAAAGGATCTATTGCGCCAATTTTATTCCTAAAACATTATTTTTGTCGCTTCCGTGTATCTTAGTAGGCTTGTTGGATTGACTGACTCATAGCTACTGGGGTGATCCATCCGTTCCTCCCCAAATAGCTCCAGTCTAAGCCTTGCAAATCTATCACATCGATAGACAATGTGATAGGCTGTTTCATTCTTCTCCTGACAGAATCGGCATAGCGGATTCGTCGTCACTCGGAGATTCAACATGTGGTAGTTTAAGTTACAGTGGTCAGTGGTTTGTGTAGATAGCTGTAAGCTTTTAAGAGCTGCTCTGCCCATACTCGGTAGCAGTTTTCTTCTCAATCCAGTATTGTTTAAGTATGTTACCATAAATCTCCCTCATCCTACTTTTGGCAGTACTTAGGCTGATTCCAGAAACAGGTTCAGGAGTTATGGGAATCATATCTGAGCCTAACCTGGCTAATTTGTCTGCTTCTTCGTTGCCTAAAATGTCCGAGTGACCAGGCAACCATTCTATTGCAACTCTATTAAGGTCGGTCATTGTTTAGTGCTATACTGCATTCCTTAACAACCTTTGAGTACACATAATAAGTATTTAGAGCACCTATTGCTGTCTTTTTGCCAAGAGGTATTGAGTCTTTTTCTTTGTTATCTTTACGATTGATGCCTGCTCCTGAGCCATGGGCTGTTAGAGAGCCATTGATACCATTTTTTGGTTTGTGTTGTCTGCTGTTCTTTTTTTATTACAGAGAAAACTTTTACTTAGGCATTTAATTTTTTTTTTAAATATGTAGAATATATGTTTTTTTAAATTTCAATCTGTTCATGTATGAATACTTTTGCTGGTCAGTTTTGTAAATAGAGTGCAGACAACAAGCACTGTAAATTTGTATTGCTGCTTAACTTTATTGAGTTGCTAAATCACTCAGGATACTGATCAGTCATAATCGATACCATTTAATAAAAGAGAACAAATAAGTTATAAAGTATTATGGAACCATCATCCGACAAACTGAATGTTATAATTTATTATGGGTGAAAATATTCAGGACGCAGTGATTTTAATGGTTTTTATTGTTGCTGCCAACCACCACCCCTAACCCAAGCAAGTGGGGTGTTTCGAGCACTTAAGTTATTCAAGACCCAACAGGCTTGCGTTGAAATGTCGTCACTAATAATAGCCTTTAAAATGACTGCGTCCAGAATATTTATCACCCATTATATGTAGAACAGTCGACTAAGTTTCTTCTCATTTTTGTCCGCAGAGTTCAGAACAAAGTACTCAGAATTAATACTGGTGGTGGTGTAGGATTCCTAATGAGTGTAAAATAATAGATATAAATGGATCGTCTTAAAATCTATTGATATTAATTATTTATAGGAGTGAGAAAAAAAAATCAATTAAACTGCTGCCTTGTCACCATTGAAACTTCAATGTTGTTGAACTAAAACATGATATAGTCACATTCTGAACAATTCAAACGAATTCGCATGTTATTTTTGCTAATAAAGAAATTATTATAAGCAACAGCAAATATAAAATGTTTTCTTGAATTCAGCATCATATATATCAGTCAAAATTTTTAGTAAACTTAAGAAGATAATGGATACGTTACAGATTATTAATTGTTTAGAAAATATTTATTTACTTTTTATCATGATTCAAATTTTGTGTTATATTTTCTCAAAAGTTTTTTTTTAATTGTGGATTAATGGTTGACTTAGTGAATAATTAAAGAAAAGATTGATTGGGGTGTTCAGTAAAAAAGAAACACTCAGATAACAATGGGTATGAGAAACTATTAGCATTAAAAAGAAAATAATAATATGCATGTGAAAGGTATAGTCTAAAAGCATGTAGGTAGAATAAAGTTAAAGTAAAATAAAGTATATATAAAGGAACTATAAAATAACGATAAAAAAATGAGGTATAGAAAGTAGCAGAACAGTAACAAAGTTAGCAAATTATGAATAAAATAATAACAGGAACAGAAAACTATGAAATAAATAATAACTGTAACAAAATAGGGACTAATGAAATAAGGTAATATAAGAAATGAAAAATGTCACCCTATTTCATTGTAACCGTTATTATTTATTTCCTAGATCTCTGTTACTCTTATCTGTTTTTTTTTTTAAACTTCTGATGAAGGTCAAAAATTCGGCAAAAATAAAAATAAATATAATTTATTTATTTATATATATATTTTTTTTTTTATTTTTTTTACTGAACACCCCAACTAATCTTCTCTTTTTTTTAATCTTGTAAATTATATAAGTATAATACTCTATTCAAGATTTTAAAAATTAAATATGTTTTTATTTTTTCAGAAGGTAGTGTTGGAGCAGGGACTGTAGTAGGTTGCGTGATCCTCGGTTTCATCGTGGGAGCAATCGCAGCCTTAGCCGGTTATTACCTCCACGGCAAGAGAAGTAGGCACCGAGTACCAGGAAGTCCGCATTACATATCATCAAAGCAGAACCCGTACGTCACCGTGCCGCTCAAGGAAGTGTCCTCGCCCAAAAGGGCACCTTCCTTTTCGAAGCAGTCCAACGGCGCTACGCCAAAACTGTTTTCGAAACCTCTACAAGAATACGAGACAGCGACTATAAAGAGGAATTCTCACAGCCTTGCCAACGGCCACGTTAGGGCGGACCTCGACCAAGACAAGTTCTTTTAAAATTGTGAGAGAAAGGCCTCGCCTCGCCCGGGTTGCTGTCTGCTCTCAACCCAATCCTAGTCATTCTTACTCCTCTATCTTTCTTATAAAATACTTTACGATTCTTTCTCATTGTAAATTGAATCAAATTTTATTTTTATATTTTTTTATATTTGTTTTTAAAATTCTTGTTAAAAATGCTAGAATAATTTTAAAGTAACTTTAAATTTTGAACTGTTTTTGAGTAAAATTGAATTTTATTGTTGTTGAAGCTATGATGAAGCTTTTGGGATCATAAGAATAGTAAAGAGGAATTTATTTATAGAAAAGTTTGTTTTCCATTATTTTATAGAAAAAAAATATTTATTTACTTAAAGACTTTCTAGCTTAAGAAGAAGCTAAAAGAAAGTATCGTATTGTGAGCTTAATATGGAATGTTTTCTGACAAACTAGATCTGTTCAACGTTCAAGTTCAAATACGCCTATACATTTTATACTAATGTATATGTGTGTGTATATATTTATACATACATTTTGATTAGTTCTAATTACTCATACTCATGAAAAGCAATTATATATATAGATGAATGTATTGCCATTCAAAAAAAAAAAATTATATATACACACGTAAACAAATATACCATAGGTATTTGTAATACAGCATAATTTGTCCGATCTCAGCGTGGGGATCAAAGTAGCATAAGAAATAATTAACAAACGCCTCAATTTAATAATTAGAAACAATTATAAATAATCTATATTAATAAAAGTAATGTCCGCATGAAATAGGAATAGCATATACATTTTAGCTTTTATTTATTATTCCATATTTGGTATTTGTTTTTTTAATTATTTGCTACAATAAAAACTAAATTCAATAGCACTCAGTGGAATTGCAAGTTGAGTTATTTTTCTTCGTTTTTTTTATTTTGTTTTTTTAAATAATTTCTTCACATGTAAATATTCTGTATTACTCAACTTGAAATCATAAATAAATAAATATACAGATTGTGAATAATAATTAATTTAATTTATTGTTTGAAACAAAATGTCGATTCAGTAGGACTTTCCTAATTATCGCTATGGCTTCTATCATTAGCTGGTCAATTTCAGGCAAAGTGTCCAACAAGTTAACTTTTAAAGTTAAAAAAATGAGAGAAAATACAAAATTTATTTATCAATAAATTACTGAACCATAATCTTCATTAATAATTCTATATTACGCATGAATGTAGTATAGTTTACTCTGATTTACTTACATTTTATCTAAATAAAGCATTGTTGTGAAGTTAATGACGATTCTTAAATGGATATTATTTTAAAAATATGTTTATTAAGAAATATAAAAGTGGAATTAAATTGTTACAATTCTGTTTTGTTTATTCTTTTAAAAATAAGTTGAAAAACTTGAAAATTCAATCAGTAAGAAATGTGAGAATAAGCTTGTGGCTACACTAATTTGAAACTAATTTTTTTTTTCCTTACCCTCGTCCTCCGATATTGGAAATAAAATACTATATAATGTATGTATAAGGAAAAAAACAAAATGTTAGCTTCAAGAAGGTGTCGCACAAGTTCACACTCAGGCTACCTAACAATTGTGATTGATCAATGAATAGAAATAATTTTATATAACAAATTTAAAGTAAATTTTTTAATTTAACACAACAAATTTTGATATTGGGTTTGATCAAGAATGTTCATGTTAATAATTAACCCTCACTTATTGTACCTATTCATGATTGTTTTAATTAATTTATATATGTTTGAGTATTATTTGGTCTATACTTGTCATATTATTGAAGTTCTACTCTTGTATAAAAATATTTCTTGAATGAAAACTTCATAATGAATTTATAATATCCTTTAGCTAATCTTGGATAAATTGTAATATTATTAAAACACTACTTATTAATAGATTATTAGAAAATCATTACTGAATCATTCCTGAAAAATAATGTTTCTTATGTATGTACTTCTTTTTTTTTTATATTGTTTTTTTTTTTGTTTAATTTGACTTGTATATAAAATTGGTTAGTAATTTTGACTTTGCTTATAGCTTTAAGCGTAAACAATAACTTAGGCATTCGATGAGCGTATTATTTATGTTCGTCTTCAGAATTTTCTTCTTTTCTTTGTTTTGGCTCATATTGAGCTTTGTAAAAATAATCATGTTTCTGATAATGATATTATGTACCTGTAAATAGATGAAATATTTTGTAATTAAAAGTTTTTACTAAGGATGGATCTATTTTATTATTCACACCATTCCCCAATTCCTAAATAATAAACTTCCCAATAATGGAAGGATCAAATTTTAAAGTGTTATATATTTTTTATGTTTCCTCCTTCCATTGACATAAGTTTAATATTCGGTCCGTACTGAGTACTTGAATACCTTCAGTGCTCGAACCACGCCCTGATGATAACCCACATGTTTGGGTTGAAACGTCAGCACTAATAAAAACCTTATAATGAGGGCGTTCTGAACATTTATCACCTATGATATGTAGAACAATCGACTAACTTCCTTCTATAATACCTACAGTTTTTTTTATTTTAATGGTATTCACTGCTTATCAGTGAACACTGGCAGTTGATAATTGGGTGATAAATAAAAAAAAGAAATTGTTAAAAGACTCCTTTAGTACAAAGTACATTTATATTTTAAGGATTAATTTTCTATGTATTGGAAATTTTTAAGTAAAATATTCATCACCGTTGAACAAATCAACTTTTTTAGTGTTCAAGATCTCTCAGATGGATTGTGTATGTTGGATGGTTAAGGAAATTTTTCATCATAAGCAGGAATATTGTAACCGACAAGCAAGTATCTTTTTTTTTTGTTGAATAAACTCAGAAAATCAATATTAAATTGAAAAGAAAGATGAATTTTGTTATATCTTAAAGATATATAAATGAATTCATCAGTTTTGCTATTGTAGAAGATCTAGTTTGTAAATTGAAAAGTATTAGTTTTATAAACTAAACAGAACAATACATTGGAATGTATATAGATATGGATATCTATAATTCATTATTTTGTTTATATGTATATGAATTTAACTTATGTACTTGTATTCTTTACTTAGTGAATATATATTATAAATGAGAAAAATGTAGTGTACTATTTTTATTTTTCTTATATGCTGTTTATAATTTTGTAAAATATATAATAAATAAACTTGTATAAAAGTTTTAAACATTACATCCCAAATTTAACATAAAAAATAAAATTTGAAATTCAGACTGTTTGTTTTTCTTATCTTCCTTTTCTTTGACTCAAAAAGAAAAAGAAAGAAGTAAATAATGATATATATATATGATGGGGATATAAATAAAGTGAAATAATATGTATCTCTATTATTATTTATATTCTTACTACTCCCTTTATCCGTAATTTACTTGTATTATCTTTTTTTGTATTTATTTCTGTCTATACTATACACATTTATATATATCTTGTATACCTGATTTAATTTCATCCTTTGTTAAGATCCAAAAGTTTGCATTGAGAACTGCATTTCACAATAAAATAATGATTGAATCCTGATAATTTGTTTCATGATATAACACGGTCAATGTTAATCAACTATTATCAAAATATTCTATAATATTACCAATTAGGACAAGATAATTTTCAAAAAGTTAAGATTTAAATGAAAACCAATGTTGAATGTTTAAGAATGAATTATTCCTTATGGACATGAATAATTTGATAGTACTTGTGGAAACTTATTTTCAACATTTGAAAAAAAAATTTAGCAAACAGTTTTACTTTGAATTAATTTACATTCAGATGATATAAATTTGTAGTTAATAATACATACAGGAATGAGCATCAATGTTAGATTATAAAGAAAGAATGGGGTAAACTAAAGACAACTCTTCACAGAAACACATTTATTTCTTCTTTTATGTCTTACCATACATATAACAATACATAACAAAATTATTACATATCTATAATATTTATAAATACAGTTCACTATCGATGTCACTAAATTCATTCAAAACTCCGATTCACTCACTTCATACACTTAGATAAATATATTTAAAAATATATAACACAGCTATTACATCAGTATTTATAAACACAGTTCACTGTTGAAACGTCTAGATTCATTCAAAACTTCACTTCCGCCACTATATGCACTTTTGAGAAACTACCGATAAATAATTAAACTAAATTCTGTAATTTACAATGAAAAAAACATTATTAAATAATGTATTGTTTAAGGCATGAAAGAATTAGATACTAACTTAGGCTAGATAACAGTTAAGACATTATATATCAAGAAGAAAACATTTCATAGAATTTATTACACGCAATTTTAACTAATTAACATATTATGAAAAGTTGTGAAGGCCTTCCGCGTTAATAATTAAGTTAATAAACATTTAAACAATACAACAAGGCGAAAGCAACAATTCTAGTAACAGTTTATAAGTTTAAAATGAATTTTGAATAATAGGTTTTGTAACTATATGAAGGTAGCAGCACTATCGAACAAAACGTTTGAATAATAGTTTGAAAACCCAATAAAAGAGAGCAGCACCATCCAATAACGTATAAAATGAAATATTAGTTTTAAAAACCGCTAAAAGAGGTCAGCACTATGCAGGAAAGACGAAAACGGCACTTAGTTTAAAAATCTATTGAAAGATAGCAGCACTATCCAGGGAGCCACTGCAGGAACACGAAACTCAATGTAGTTATTGAAATTGGCGCAAGAGACCAGCACTATCCAAGGAAACAATAAGAAACCGTAGTTTCTATATTCTGCCGACAGATAGCAGCACTACAAAGACTCCTGGTCGCTTCGAAAAGTGAGCTCCTTCAACCTCCCACTACCCTGATACAAATCGACAATTTTCTCGCTAGAAATTTGGATAAAATTCGTAGTTCCTGTGTTCCGCCAACAGATAGCAGCGCTATCGCTATCAGGATCGCCCCGAAAAGTGAGCTCCTGCTACTTCCTGCATTCCTAATACAAAATAAAGATTTTCAGCTCGGAATTCGTGCGTCAGACGCTTCTGGGACCAGTTTTTTTTTGTTTTTCTTGTTTATTCTTGCTGGAAATTGATCAGAATATTTAAAAATAAGTTAGAAAAATGTAAAATAATTCCTTTTTATTCTTATTTCACCCCAAATCTTCAAATTTTAACTATTTAATGAATTTTATAGTACAGGACTTATTTTTCATGCTGTGAATTGATCAAAATATTTTTAAATGATCGAAAAATTAAAAAAATATTCTCATTTCGTCCAAATATAAGAAAAATAACTACAAATCTTCTTAATAAGTGTTATTTTAACCATTTATTAAATTAATAATACTGTTCTTGTTTTCAAGTTGCGAATTGATCAAAATGTTTTAAGAGTTCTTCAAAAAATTGCAAATCCTTCCTATTTTTCTCATTTCTTCAAAATATCAGAAAAATAATGACAAATCTTCTAATTAAGTGTTATTTTCACCATTTATTAAATTAATACTTTTATTTCCTTTTAATATCTAGTTCTTATATTATATATAATTTTCTTGTTTATTCATGTTGCGAATCATCAAAATACTTTAGAATTGTTCGAAAAATTCCAAATCTTTCCTATTTTTCTCATTTCTTCCAAATATCAGAAAAATAATGACAAATCTTCTAATTAAGTGTTATTTTCACCATTTATTAAATTAATACTTTTATTTCCTTTTAATATCTAGTTCTTATATTATATATAATTTTCTTGTTTATTCATGTTGCGAATCATCAAAATACTTTAGAATTGTTCGAAAAATTCCAAATCTTTCCTATTTTTCTCATTTCTTCCAAATATCAGAAAAATAATAACAAATCTTCTAATTAAGTGTTATTTTCGCCATTTATTAAATTAATACTTTTCTTTCCTTTTAATATCTATTTCTTATATTATATATAATTTTCTTGTTTATTCATGTTGTGAATCATCAAAATATTATAGAATTGTTCGAAAAATTCCAAATCCTTCCTATTTTTCTCATTTCTTCCAAATATCAGAAAAATAATCACAAATATTCCAATTAGGTATTATTTTCACCATTTATTGAATTAATACTTTTCTTTCAATTTTCTTATATAATATAATTTATTTATGAGATTAACTCATATTTTTTATATAATATATTCATTTTAATTTCACATCAACATTATCTTATGACATTAACATCTTGTTCTGTAAAAAGAGTGATTCCAAACAAAACAATACTTTAAAAGAAAAACATTTTTCAAGGAAAGTGATGTTTTTACCATTCTTTTATGAGAGAATCTGAAGTTATAATCCCCTATTTAAAAATTCTTATGAAACTAAAATTTGAAGCATTCACTCTTGTTACATAACATCGATGAAATATTTTCTTTTAGAAAACATAGCATATTCAGTCAGTATGCTTAATTTATTTTATTTAAATTACTAATTAAGGATTGCATCCTTGTTAACTGAGTAATTTATGCAGTAAAATTAAAAGAGGAAGGAATAGAGGGATTTGGGTAAGGGAATTCTTTAGGATTTAAAACAGAAAAATAGAATAATTACTTTTTTTTTTTTTAAATACATTTATTTGAAACAAAATACATCGAATTTTATAATGTCTGTACAGAAGCACTCAAGTGTTAGTATAACAGCAAAAGTACATAGAAAACAGTTCCAATATTTGGTATAATAAAAAAAACAACACAGAATTAATAAATTTGTCGTTTCTATTGAATGATCTTCATTACAAATGTAATTTTTATTTATCTTATATTATGATAAAATAATTTAAATTATCCATGAAAATATTACATAACCTTGAAAAATCGAATGCAAGTATGAATAATACACAGAAAATACATCTTTCAATATAAGTATTAAGAGTAGATGTAAATATAAGATTTGCTAATTTTAAGTTTTGGTGAAGATAAGCCCTTTTTTTTTCAACTCTTGTATTAAATAACTTTAAATGTTTTCTTGAAAAAGGGATGTTTTACTCATTCTCTTATTACTTTTCGTTAAGTATACATACTTGTCATCTGACCGTATTGATTCAAATTGATATAATACTTATTATAATACTTATTATAATACTTAATATAATACTTATTAAAATATTCTTTATTTATTTTATAATAATTACAAGTATTAAATAACATGAATAATTACAACAACAATAATAAAATTATTACAATAATAATCTAATGATTACAAGATTTAAATGACAGGAATAATTTCAATAATAAAGACAAACATTAAGAAGAGAAGTAAGAACTTTCCAAAACTGGACATGAGTCCAATTGGAGAGTTCCTGCCTTCAAATCATTGCCCTGATGATCACCCACATGTTTGGGTCGAAACATAGACAAACTCTATAAACACATTTTTTGACTACTCATTCTAACCATTTTTCATTCTTACAATTTCAACCGTCTATATATCCATATCTATACATCCATCTCTAAAATACAAAAAATAAATAACATCAATAGTTTCCATAATGATTACAAGAATTAAATGACAAGAAGAATTACAATACTAAATACAATAATTAAATGTAATGAAAAATTACAGTTATATGACATGAAAAATTTTAATGGCTCTCATTATATGAATTATTCTTTTGATTGTGTCTTCATTATCTTCAAGTTCATTGGCCATATTAGAAAGTATACAGTCTCATTCTAGTGTCGGAGGAGCGTTGCTTGTTTCTCAGAGTAGTGGTTCCAGGCCTCTGATTAAGTATACATAGATGAAGACTGCATGCCCCCGATTAGGAGTCTTGAAAATATTAATTTTTCTAATGTAGATTCAACTGAAGTAAATTTCCATGCCAGAATATCTTGTTTCATTTGTGATTTGTTTGTAAATGGTCTCATTCGCATTTATGTCATTTTTTCAAAAGACATCACCAATCAGCAAGGTAGTATATCATTCCTAAGTGTTCTCTTCGAGAAGGTGGTAGAAGTCAGCTACATGCCTAAAAAAAATAAAGAATATATACATGAGTTATTGTTTCATTATAATTAAATTGTTATATAAGACAAGTTTTTAAAAATTATAAATTCTTTGTAAATAAATACCTATAATAAATAAATACATACAAATATTTTTATATTTTATACAAAAGGCTTTTTTAAAACCTATTGTTGTATAAAACAGCATTGAGCCCAGTACAAGTTCAAAAAGAGATTGCAA